AGCTAAAAGGGCTTTTGCAGCTGGATGTGGGCTGGCATATCTCCTAACCCTCAGAAGGTTTCTCTTCTGTGTACTTGTGTAGCCTTTGAATTCTGGGTAGACTCATAGCATAGGGTGTTCTTCGGCAAGAAATGACACTTGCCATCTGCCTGTTGTTTGAAGAGCTGTCTTCCTTGGTTTCTTTCTAGCATGCCTCTGCTAGCTTGGTTTCAATTCCTACTGGCTTCAGTTTTGTTCCTGTGTTGAAAAAGCCTGTGACTGGTTTTCCCTGTCTGTTCTCTTTACCACTGTGATTCCTCAGACTCGCATGAGGACTCTCTTCGATCTTACTGATTGAAGAGTCCTAGTCTCATCGCTATTTTGGTATTATGTTAAACATTATGTGAAATAATCACCATTATACTACAAAATGTTCTTCCAGGCTTTGAACTTAAGATTTGTGTACTTTTGTAGTAATTACAAGACAGTGTATGTTCCAAACCCTATGTATTTTAACATCAGGTCAACTTGCTGAGCTTCAAGTGTCTCTTAATGAACATTGTGATGAATTTCCCAGTAGTCCAGCTTTCCATCCTGCTGCTGGAAATGTATGCTGTGCCCAGTTCACAGGTAAAAATGGGGTGAAAATATGGCTCTTCATACATGTCGCTTTAATTTATTACAAAAATAAACACATTTTATAATTATGTTTCATATAGAGTTTGTTTTATTTGTGTCTGGTTTTAGCTGTGGATAGCATTTGGTAGTGATTTTAAAAAATTATTATTGATAGAAAATGATGACATCTGTAAAATACTAGTTTAAAAAAAGACCATAAAATGGTCCCTTTGTTGAGCAAACTCTTAACACTGGGTTCATTTTTGTATAAAGGAACTTTTTAAGAGACGATGAAAAGAAATTTTTTTTTTAATGTTGGTGAGCACTATTTCCTGTGGCTGGAAATAAATATAGACTTGGAATTGTAGACCCCAAAAAGGGGACAGAAGAAATGGGATTGTATGTAAAGATGCTGCTCTGACAGACGACTTCTAAAAATGTTATTTAGCCAAGACCTAGTAGTCCTGAATTGTATGTTCGTAACTTAGTTTCCACCTGACAGTCATCACTGATGTCAAGTTTCTACAAGTCTCATGACAAAATTGAATCTTGCCTAATCCTAGGCTAGTATTCCGCATAAAGCGGTGTTTTGTGCTAGGAATTGGTAAGTCTATATGAAAGAAATACCTTTTTATTAGAATCTGAAGTCCTGTTTGCCTGAGTGCAGTAGGATGCAGATGAATCTCTTTTCACAGATTATTGTCCTTTTCATCCAGCTTTTAACAAGAAAAGAACCTCCATACATTGCTGCTGTTATGCCTTCTTTCTGGTCAGAAATGTTGCTGCTGTAATTTCTTTGTGATTGATAAACATTCCTGGTCATGTATTTCTTTCCATATCCTGTGGTTTTGCTGCTTTGAGTAAATTAGCTGTAGGACTGAACAGATAAGCTGAAATAAATGGGGTTTTTTGCACATTCAGAAAAAGCTAGTACTACCAGTAAGCTGTCTTGGCATATGAATGGGCACTGGTTTCAGGTGCCTAGCTAGGGAAAGCTATCAGTTCAGTACCTCAGATGTCTTGATAAACTTGAGTAAGCTTGTATTTCTATTTCTCAAATATTGAATTAAAATACTTACATTATTAGATCTGTTGTGTGGCCTTTGAATTGCATGTCATTGTGGTCAGCTGAGATACTGTTCGCTGTTTGTTTAAATGTATTGAACTTAAGCACTACATCCACATAATGTAGTCGATTCTTTGTTGCAATATGTATGTTGGGGTGGGGGGAAGGGGAGGTGTCTTTATGGAAAGAATGAGTTTGCAACACTCAACTCATAGGCGGATGATGGTGGTAGATATTGCATCCACAAGGGTTTTGTGAAGGTTTGTGTGAACTGTAATGCTGCTGTTTTATGCTGAGACTGATGTCATATTTTTATATTGGTCTGCCCAAAAAAATAATTCTGTTCTCAGAAGTTAAAAGTGAAGTATAATGAATACCTGTATCTTCCGTTTTAGAAGACAATCTTTGGTATCGTGCTGCTGTTATAGCATATGTTTCTGAAGATACTGTTTTGGTGGGCTATATAGATTATGGTAATTTTGAAGTTCTTCCGCTGACTAGACTTCGTCCTATGATTCCAAGATTAACGGAATTTCCAGCTCAAGCCATAAGATGTACCTTGGCAGGTATGAAATAAATGATAAGCTGTTTCAAGCTGCGTAGAGGCAAAATAAGTGGGATTAGATAATGACTGCACCTGTAGCTTTTTATATTGAAATATGGGGAAGGATGGAGATAACAGTAGGTGTTATTTTCAGAATTCTTAATAGTTGTGGCATATCTATGAAACATGACAAATCCTTCCTAATGTACCTGGTGACCTGCAGTTTGTATGTTTGGAAAACTGTGTTATATTAACATACCTGTTAGGTTTTGCATGGGCTTTTGTTCTAAGCAAAACTCAGTCACCTACTGGTTTTGTGGAATTCTTAAATCTGTTGCGGTTCTAACACTGCAGGGGAAGGTAAAATTTCATTTCATGTCTTGAAATTCAGAACTGTATCTGTCCTCTTCCCCTGGGGCAAATCTAGCAATACTACTGGTAGATTCTTCTCCGTAGGCTTGTGAAATCTGTCAAGTTGGAAAGGACATTGACGCTTCCTAGTTCATCCTTCTACCTCAAGCCAGGATCATAATCTGGTTTTTTTGACATACTTGTTTAGCCTGCTGTTGGAAATTCTTTATTTTCTCTGTTTGTTCCCATCACTATGTAAGATCGTCCACCCCACTGCTTCAAAATACCCTTCCTTTAGGATACTTTATATCTATCCTTCCTTTACAATACTTTATATTTAACCTGCTTTTCAAATTTTTGATAAAGTTAAGAGCAGCATTCTAGCTTCTTACTTTGGAGGAAAACATGAAACAATGCTTCCCTTGTATGTAGAGGTGGAACTGATGCATATGGAATGTGACCTAAAGAAATCTCTTTTCTGGGGCAAATCACGATGCCTATAGCTGATAATGAGTGTTCTAAGACTAAGAAAGGTCCTAAACACAACATGGACACAAAAGAAGTGATCAGATAAGATGTTTCCTGATAAGAGTCAAGGATTACTGGTACATAAAATACATCTTTCTGGAAGGCAACTTCTGCCAATCTGTTACTGTAAAGTTCAGGTTATAACTTGCATTTTAGAAATAAATTGAGCAGCATAAAGAGTAAACATTTAAGGAGGAAGAAGCTTACGGTAGCAGATAGCGTGGCTGAGCGATGGTTAATGTTGCTCAAAGCTATAGGTTGTATTCATGAGACCCAAAGACTGAAACTTCTTACAGACATTCATACTAAAGGAAGTATTAAATCTGAATTTACGCTTCTCTTTATGTAATAGACTAGTTGTACATGATCTTTGTCAGATTTTCATTAAATCCAAGTACTACAGAAGTTCAGAATCTAAATAACTGGGTTTGGAATCTTGTTACAGGCAAGAGGAGTGGGGTTGAGTTACTTGGTATATCTGCTGCTTAATCTATTGTTTTAAACAGTGTTGTTGTACCTCTCATATTGTTGAGACTTGGATTGTCCTCAGAACTTTTCCATACTATGTGACTTTTTAGGTATAAAGCCACCATTAGGAGCCTGGACCTCAAAAGCTATTTCTTTTATGAAACAACTGGTGAAAGACAAAGTGTTCACAGTAAAAGTAGTGGATAAAGAGAGCTACAGATCTGTGGTGGAGCTTGTAGATGCATCAGTTACTCCAGTAATAAATATATCGAGCCATCTCATAGAGAAAGGCTGTGCAGCTGATGAATCGAGGATGTCCTTACCAGCAATCGGAATGAGTGATGTTAAGCAAGCAAATGGTGAGCACGAGCACATGCTCCTGAACTGGCGTTATTTAACCTCCTACTAGAGCGGGTACAAAGAATGCGAGTTCTTAACTGGTAAGAACTTTCTAGTCTGGCTCATGAAGTCTAGCCTTCACACCTCTGAAGTTGAGCCATGGCAACTTTGCCATGAAAAAATTGTGTTTGCTTGTGTGTCCGTGTGTGTATGCATATATGTGTGCATATGTAAAAAAGTTGCAATTGCTTGCTTTTGGAAGACCATACTAGTATTTCACTTTCTCTTGTCAGAGGTCTTAAAATTTCCAGTTGAAGTAGGATATAACTACTTAGTAACTGCTTGTTCTTATGCCCTTGTCCTTTAGCTCAAATGGTATTTCATCTTCATTGTCCTGTATTTTACAGCTAAACCCACATATTTAGTCCTAGAAAAGTTGTTTGACTGCAGTAGCCTACACAACTTCAAGGCTATGCCTAAATTGCCTTTTTTGCATTTCATGAGCAAAGCTTCAGTTTGAGAGATTGGCAAATTCTGTGTCAGATTTCTTTGTATTTTGGGAAGATTCCTAGCTTCTCTCATATGAAGTGTGTTAAGCCCCTCTTTTCCATCCTGTGTCTGGTAACCTGATCCATCTGTGCTGAAAACTGGGGGAAGTCTTTTTGTCAAGGCTATGTCCAAATCCCTTCATTTTGATCTTCCTCACTAGATGCCTCATGGCCAGGACATGGGGTTGTCACCCTGGAGAAGCGAAGGCTCCGGGGAGACCATATTGCAGTCTTTCAGTACTTGAAGGGGGCTTATAAGAAAGGGGGGGGACAAACTTCTTAGCAGGGCCTGTTGCGATAGGACAAGGGGTAATGGTTTTAAACTAAAAGAGGGTAGATTTAGATTAGATATAAGGAAGACATTTTTTACGATGAGTGTGGTGAAACACTGGCACAGGTTGCCCAGAAAGGTGGTAGGTTGCCCCATCCTTGGAAACATTCAAGGTCAGGCTGGACAGGGCTCTGAGCAACCTCATCGAGTTGAAGATGTCCTGCTCACTGCAGGGGGGTTGGGCTAGGGGATCTTTAAAGGTCCCTTCTAACCCAAACCATTCTATGATTCTGTCATCTTTGTTCAG